TAAGGAACATTAAATATATTTTAGCACTTTAATCAAAGGTAGACAAGAACAGAGAAAAAGATGTGACATTAATTCACTAAATTTATTTATGATTTGCAATTCAAGATGTTACTAGAAAAAAAAAAAACAAGTAAAAGTTAAAACTTACAGCTGGTTGGTTTCTCTTTGTTTCAAGAATTTACACTATCTCTGCATGCCATCAACACAGGTAATTGGAAGTTGTTTTATGTCCAGAAGCCACAAATTTATCTGTCATTGACAGGTGTGCTACAATCTACCTTAGCTTACAGTCAATATTTCCCAAGGGGCTGATAGACCAAAAGAAGGATGAGGGGGGAGAAAAGGGCAGTGCAATAAAATGATCTTTTTTTGACCAAGTATTGAAACAGCTCTTTTAGCTAGCTGTGTTTGAGTACAGGGGGGTGAAGTGGAGAAGTACGTAATTTCCTAAGTTGGTAAGTAATACTACCATTCATAGGGTCAGTCACTCACAGCAAACACTCAGAAGTCACCCTGATCTCCTAGTTCACACAACTGAAAACCATCAGACTGAGGTCTCTCTCAACTTTCCACCATCAGACTGAAAAAGCTACCCATGTTCAAAACCATCCATCAAGTCCTCTTTAAAAAATTATTTATCCCATTTATTATTATTATTATTATTATTATTATTAAATTTTCTATAATGCACACGAGCTCACCAGAGACAGAGAGACAGACAGAAAGGGAGAGAGAGGGAAAAGGAGGAGAGGAGGGAGAGAGAGAGAAAAAGAGAGAGAAAAAGTAAGCCTCCAAGTCCAGGACTCGAATTGCTGTTGGCCATGCAAGAGTCCAGCATCTTAACCACCATGCCACCTGCCGGCCCCTCGCATCCTCTTTTCTTGTTACTGCAACTGAGGGACCTTGCTATCTTGCTTTTCCTTTTATACCTTCCCCTCTTCCCTTTTTATGTCTTTTTTTTCTTAATACCCCATCACAATTTAAACTTGCACAAGTTCAAATAATCCTTAAACAAATTATTATACAAACATAAAGCCCTTCCTGATCAAATTCCTTACCTTACCTTTTTAACATGTGCACTCACCAGAGAGAGACAGAGATAGAGAGGGAAAGTGAGAAATCAGATCAACCCCACCCTCCCCCAGCGGGGATGTGACCATACTGCAATGCCTTCTCCTCCAGTGTCACCTCAGGATTTGGGGCACACCCATCCATCGTGATTTTTAAGCCACTGGGGCTGGGACTCAAACAGCAGAGTTGACCATGTAGGATCCAACATCTTAACCTCCATGTCACCTACTGGGCCTGGTTATTACATGAGTAGATTAGTATCTAGTAACCTCCAGAGGGCGTTAACAAACTGTCCTCACCAGCGGTCTCGATGTACTCAGTTCCCAACCTTAATCTGATCCAGTACCTGGCTTGATCACGTCTATCTCCCCAAAGTCACCAGATGGCCTCCGTCTAACCAGGACAGCATTATCCTCGCTGAGCATGCACCTCGGCAACATTCAACACTTTTCACTGTTGCTTTCTTCGTGAAATTCACTCTGCCTGGGCTTTGAGATGTGATTCTCTCCCGGTTCCCAGCCCCACTCTCTGGGTAGACAAGCAGCTACTCACCCAGGGTAGCTTCTTCTCCCTGACAACTCTCCCCACCCCAAGACGATATATACTTTCCAGGGCTTCAATATGCTACATCCTCCTGTCTTCTACAGACTCATCTAGTTGGATTTTACCTTTGCCTTCTCCAAACTATGTCTCTCTAGCTCATTCATCTTTTCATGGATACCTGATCCATGTATAACATCCTTCCAGTAATTTCTCTTTTAGATGCCTGGCAAGCACCTCATGTTCAACATTCTATAATCAAACTTATTATTCCCTAGACTCTCTCCCAAACCTGCTCCATTCTACTATCCCATAGCTGATGTCTGTTCACATAATACACACACATGTACACATAGACACACATGCATATGAGTGTGTGTGTGTGTGTATATATATATATATATATATTCCATGTGGTGATATTAACTATCAGGGTCTAGAACCTAGTGAGCTCCTAATCTACTACCCTTATTCTTCACTTCACTCACCCTGAATCCCCTTCCCTCTATTATGTTTTTGATGTGTTAGGAATTACATAAACTACATGTACATATTTCTAATAGAATGACTTTTCTTGTTTACTAGTACAATCATTTTTATTTTCTAATACCTGCTGAAATTTTCAAAGTCTGGTAACTTATATATCCAGACTCTTGGTATATTCGTTGACTTAAGTCTTGAGAATGATCTGTACAAAAGTATCAGCAGAGTAACACTTAACACTTATTTAAAACAAACAAAAAAAAAACTTCAGGCTAAGTTATAATTTATCTTACCTTGCTTTCAAAAGGAATGATCCCCCTCACAGTGTACAGACCCTGGAATTCATTTAAGTACTTCAAATAGTGCCTGCCACATGGATGCCCACACTTCTCCTCCTCCGATCCAGGCACATTCTTTCATAAAAGTGCTTTTAATATCTCTTGTTAGTAACACATGTAGGTAAAAGGCTTTTACATTATGATCACAAACAGGATCAGCCATCCAATTACTTTGGAATTCCATTAGTTTCTCACTATTCCATGAACTCAAGAGGGCAATTATATTACAAATGGATTTCACCCCCTAATTCCTGCT